CTTCGTGGCCAGCCGGGGGCAGGACCAGCAGTGACGCGTGGGAGTTGGGCATGGGGGCCCCCAGCACGCGGAGCGAGGCCCCGTCTTGCGGTTCCCCCGGTTAACCCTTGGCCATGCCCACGGCTCTATTTATGGCATCCTGGTGAACGGGCTTCCTATTAAAACGTCTCACCGAGGAACTGTTCAGACCGGATCCGGCCGTCCGGGGTGTCGGGGACGCTCGGGGAGCCTGGGTCGCCTGGGTCCCATCTCTGGGGACAGCTGCGCCCCTTGGGGCTGGGTGGGTCGGAGCCGCCGTCTGGGGCGTGCGTGACCTCTGAGTGACCAGTTTGGTGGCGCTCGGCTGCTGTGTGCTCACCACGTGGGTCCAGTCCCCAGGGACGTCCCCCCCATCAGGTGGCCCTGCCAGGCGTGGGTGTGGGTCCTGCCACGTGCGACGGCGGCACCTAGGACCCAGGGCTCTCTGAGGAGCTCCCGGCACAGTGCACAGGGCCTGCAAAGTTCCCCTCCAGCGACCTTCACCTTACCTGGAAGGAGAGCCAGGTCTTCACCCACACAGTAGCTGGGCCGGGCCAGGCGTGGCCCCGGGAGCCGAATTCCTGGGCCGTGGAGTCACCCATGGCAGCGGCTCTGGGCCCCGCCCACGCCCGCCCTCCACCGGCTCCCCTGGCGCCTGCAGCCGTCTGTCTTAGCGCCCTCTCGACAGGGCCTGCTATAGCCGAGCACCTGCCCCGGGCCGGCCCCTGCTGGAGCTGAGCACTCAGCCGGGTCTCTCGCGTGTTAGCTGTGCCAGGTACTCACGCCGTGCCAGACACGCGTGGGACTCCAAGCACCCGCTCCCTGGCTGCAGAGCCGTCCTCGCCTGCCACCTTCGGCCGCCCCCTGCTCAGCTCCGGGGCTCTGCCTGGTGCCCACTGGGAGGGGTTCTCTGTGCCTGTGCGCGTGTTCACGTGCACGTGTGTGTGTGTGCATGTGCACGCATGTGCGTGGGACCAGTTCCCGGCAGGGAGGCCCGAGTGTCCCTGGGTCGCTGTGACCTCAGCCTGGCGGCCCCCAGCTGCCCGTGATTGCCGCGGTCCTGTTTGGTGGTTTGCCGAGCAGTCGGCTCCGGCCCGGGCTTCTGTGCCGGCAGCTCAGGGCCCCGAGGGCCCCCGGGGGCTACGACGTGAGCGTCACTTGGTCCTTGTTCCCCTTTAAGGATTCAGTTGGCAGAGAGGGAGAGGGAAATGGTTCACTCCCCGCGTGGCCAGGCTGAAGGCAGGGGCTCCATCCGGGTCTCCCAGGCGTGTGCGGGGGTGGGGGGTGGGGGGCAGCACTCGGCCGCCCTCTGCTGCTTCCCGGGAGCCTTAGCAGGGAGCTGGATGGGAAGTGGAGCCAGGGCCTCCCATGTGGCAGCTTAACCTGTGTGCTACACCAGCCCCGGTGTGGGTCGTGAGGGGTCCCACAGGGTGGCCGAGGGGTCCCACTTCCAGCAGCAACCCCCCAAAAAACTGCCCTGAGCCAGTCTGATCTGGATCCAAGACCTGAGTCCACGCCTACCTCGGGGCAGGGAGGTCCACCTGGGAGGCATTCAGAATGCAGTGGGCGGGGCAGGGTGGGACCTGAGCCACCACGTGTCCCAGGGATCAGCTCAGCGCTGGGGCCATGTGCAGGGGAGGGTGTCTGCGAGCTCACAGGCGCACAGAGTGGCACCCAGCCTGCGTCACGGTGCCCAGCAGTCCCTGGCGCGTGCACGCCAACGCACACGTGCAGCTCCCAGACCCTGCACCTGCAGCATACAAGGGGGTCACACCCAGCCTCTGGGGGAGCCCGGGGCAGGCTGAGCGCTCATTCAGAAGCCTGCCTCAGCCATGGCTGGGAACGCCATCCTGTCTACGTCACGGCCAGGGGCCCACCTGCCACAGTCTGCACCAGGGTGGGACAGCGCCCAGGCCACTGCTGATAGCCATCTGCCCCGAGGACTGCACCCCCAGCGCCGCCTGCCGGCCCCAGTGAAGCCAGCAGCAGGAGCCAAGGCCTCTCTGTGTGGCTTCTACCTCATTGTCCAGTGTGGCTGCTTGAGCACCAGCCGCTGTTTATCCCATCCCAGTGGACTGCACCGGCCGATCCAGCCACCAGCTCACTTAGTGCTGTGGAGAGTTCTAGAAAGAACCCCGAGGGCACATGGCACAGTAGGTCCACCGTGCCTCAGCCCATCAGAAGCGTGGTGGTCCTGGGGCCAGTCCTGGCTGCTCCACTTCTGGCCCAGCTCCTGCTAACGCGCCTGGGGGAGCGGAGGACAGCTGAGGGCCCGGGCCCCTGCACCCGCGGGGATGCAGCTCCTGGCCCCTGGCTTCAGCCTGGCCCAGCTCTGGCCACCTGGAGTGAGCCAGCGGACGGAGGGCCTCTCTCTGTCTTCTGTAACTCTCAAAATAAATCTTTTAAAAAATAAATAAAAAGGCCGGCGCCGCAGCTCACTAGGCTAATCCTCCGCCTAGCGGCGCTGGCACACCAGGTTCTAGTCCCGGTTGGGGCGCCGGATTCTGTCCCGGTTGCCCCTCTTCCAGGCCAGCTCTCTGCTGTGGCCAGGGAGTGCAGTGGAGGATGGCCCAGGTGCTTGGGTCCTGCACCCCATGGGAGACCAGGAAAGCACCTGGCTCCTGGCTCCTGCCATCGGATCAGCGCGGTTCGCCAGCCGCGGCAGCCATTGGAGGGTGAACCAACGGCAAAGGAAGACCTTTCTCTCTGTCTCTCTCTCTCACTGTCCACTCTGCCTGTCAAAAATAAATAAATAAATAAATACCACCCACGGTGAGCCAGTGGCCTAAGCCAGGCCACACCTGCCCTCGCGCGTGTGCACCGCCACACCTGGCGAGCGGCACCAGCACACGCCTGCTCCGGTCGCTGCTGGGTGCTGGCTGTGGCAGGGGACAGCTGTGCCGGCTCTCCGTGCGCCCTGGGCAGCCCTCAGCTTCGCTCACGCCCTGTAGCCCTGTTCAGCTGGTGTCAAGAGCCGGGGCCCCCAGGGCTGCGGCCACGGCTGTGGCCCCTGTGGGCAGCACCCCGGCCACAAGACCCCAAACACCTCTGGAGAACCAGCAGCCCGAGGCCTCGGCGCAAGCCAGCACGGCGCGGGGCTCGCAGCAGCGACTCCCAAGCCCCGTTTCCCTCCCGTTCCCGTGTCTGAGGCCTTAGACGCCGGGCTCGGTGCCCTCCGGGGCTCAGGACAAGACCCCACCGCACCCCAATACCCCCGGCCCCACAGGCCTCCCTGGGACTCAGGGCCCCGGCTGTGCAGTCCTGGCGCCTCCCAGGCCACGCCAGCTGTGAGCTGGCCGCGTCCCTCTCCACCAGCCCACGTGGAGGTTCTGCCGAGGTCATACGGAGGGCACACGAGGTCCCCGAATGTGAGCTGTAAGACCACCGCGTGGAAGAGGTGCCAAGGAGGGTACAAGCTCCCCCAGGAGGCAGGGACGCACAGGTCCCCTGGGCTGCTGCCCTAGACGGGACGGAGGAAACATCTCAAGTTCACCAAGCGTGCCGAGACAGCCCCGGAGCAGGCAGCGGCCAGAGCGGCTCTCAGGGTGCAGTGCCCGGGGAGGACCCGCTGGCCTGGAGGAGGGGCACAAGGCCTCCGGGACCAGGTCCTGCCTGCCTGCCCAGCAGTGGGCGTGAGCCCTGCGCCGCACAGGACTCGCTGGGCTGGGCTAAGCCAGCAGAGAACAGGCGGCCTCCTGCTGAGGTGGGGAGGGGGCGGAGCAGACACCACGGGGCAGGCAGGGAGCAAGAACGGGGAGGGGGCATCTCTGCTGGAAGCCCCCAGTGCCCACGCCCGCCTGTCGCAGCATGGGCTCCCCCTGTTCTACAAGGCACCAGCAGCAGTCAAAAGTGGTGGACCCGGACCCAGACCCGAGACACGGGGCCCTCCCGGGGCACACTGCCAGATCTCTCCAAATGCCCGTCCCAGGTCACTGGGCTCCGTTTCTGCAAACACCTGGTGCCACTGCTCTCACGGTGGCCTGACACTGGGACGCAGCATCGCTCCTCCGGCCCACAGCGGGCCCACCCCTCACTCCTGTCCTTCCTGCCCATTTCCAGACATGGACTGGTTGACTGGCGGGAATCCCGCCCCTCCCCCAGCTCAGAGAAAGGTTCCGCAGGTGTCGCCTTCCCCTGGCATCTGGCACTGCCCTTGGGGCCCTCGGCCTCCCAGCTCCTGACCTCCTCTGCACCTGCTCTGGCCTCTCCCCACCCGGGGCTCCCAGCAGCCCCTGTGCCATTGCCCCTCTGGCTGCCCGGCAATTCAGCCTGCTGGCCCCTCCTCCTGGAAGCCCAGGTCTGCGCTGACACATGTCAGCATGCGGGAAGGAGCTTATTTGAGACGTGGACTGCCGTGTGTTAGGATGATCTGGACGAAAACGGAGACAATATAAACCATAATGCTACAAACAGCCCCGGTTTCTCTAGAAACCCTTCTGTAAACACGACGAAGCAGCTCGTGCCGATGCTACCACTCAAAGCTCCCTTCAAACTCGCTGGGACCCGGCCACCCCTGACTCCCATCCCGGCCACTGCGGCCTTTCACAGGCTGGCCACAAAGGGTGGGGACCTGGGCCAGCTGAGCCTGCAGGTCCCACGGGGCGAGCCTCACACCCACCGACCACGCCCCAGAACAACGCGCCTCGCAACCTTGGACGCATTTTCAACGTGCGCCAGGCTGCTGCACTGAGCCCCCGGCAGGTGCCGGAGCCCCGACACCGGGCCCTCTGCAGGGCCAGGGACCCTCACGGCGCTGCCTCTGAACACGGGCGACCAGACTCAGCAGTTTCTTCTCACTGCTGTCAAATCAATGACATTAAAACTACAATAAAAACAACAGAAAACCCATTTCGGATTTTTTCCGGGAAAACTAGCGACTGATGAAGCGAAGCGAGAGTCTGAGGGGAGATCCGGAACACATGGGGGGTCAGGGCCCACGGGCCACGGCCGACGCCGCCAGCGACACACACCGTACACAAATAAAGTGTCCATAAGGCTTGTTTCTGTTTTTAATTTTTTTGATTTGATAGATCAATTGCTCCACAAAAATCCTTTTAAAGACAACAATCCGAGAAACATCGTCACAGTATTCACATTTTAAAGATTGTCAGTTTCAAAGACCGAACAGAACTGAAGCAAGGAAGACTGCTGACCTGACCGTCCCCAAGGCCCGGGAGGGGCGGGGCTTCACGCACGGCCGAGCCTGCGGGGTCCCCTGGGGTCTGTCACACAGAAGGGAGCCCGGATGCCTCGGAGTCAGGGCCCTGGGCCTTCCGGGCTGACACCTGTCCGTCCCTCACCGTGCAGTCACGTGGAAGGCCAAGTCGGCTCCGGCCGGCACCTGCCGGAGCCCTGCTCACCGTCGAGCTGCACGAGGGCCACAAGCCCATCGGCCTTCCTAAGGGAACTCCTGGACAAGGACGCAGCTGGGCTGGAGGGACGGCGGCCACAGGGTCCCCCACTGTGCTGGTCGCCGCGAGACAGCCGTGGGCGCTACCCCGGGGGAGCTGCCTGAAAGCACCGTGGTCATGTGAGGCGAGGGGAAGGAGCTCAGGCCGCGCGGCACAGGTCCTCCTAAGAGACCCGCCCTGTCCTGGTCTCACCGTGGACACAGGTCCTCCTCCTAAGACACCCGCCCTGCCCTGGTCTCACCGTGGACACAGGTCCTCCTCCTGAGACCCGCCCTGCCCTGGTCTCACCATGGGCCTCAGAGGGCTGACGTCAGCAGAGAACTCAGCAGCCCACACGCCAGGGGCCCGCTCGGCGGGGGCCCACCATCCGTGACTGCGCCAAGACACGCGTGGAGGGACGGAGGGAGAAGTAAGAAGTCCCAGAAAGTCCAAGAAAGATTCGTGGAATAAAGTTAAAGTGATCTTTCCGTTTTGTGTAGACCTGACGTAAAATGTTAAAACCTGTTTATAAATAATAAACCCAACGGCCGCCTAAGAATGCGTTTTCTCGCCGACAGGAGCTGGCGCACCTCTGCGTCTCCTGCGTCTCTGGGTTCCTCAGGGAGAATCCCCCTACGATTAACACCAAGTACACGCGTTTCTATGGGGGAAAAGTCAGTTCCAGAAAAGAATCTCTGCACTAGTTAAAAACGTCCCTCAACCCAGCGTTGGTCCACAACCCCTCACGGCCACTGCGTCCCGGAGGACAGCCCCGTCCCCCCACCCGTGACGGGCGCCCGGCGAGGACACAGAGGCACCCAGTACGCACCTGGTTCTCGCCTTCCTAGCCGCAGCCCCGAGCCTCTCAGGGCTGGTCTCTGTCCCGGCTCCACGGGGCTCTGAAGCCACAGCCTTCAACACCGGGAGGGCCCACGGCTGCGCCCAGTGCGCCTGAGCCACCGCGCGTCGGCTGCTGGAGCGGGAACGGCTGCCGCCCTCTGCCGGCTCTGAGCCAGCGGGGCAGAGCACCTGCTCCGTGTGCAGAGTCCACCATAAAATCCTGCGCAGAACGCATGTGGACTAAAAACTCCTAAAACGACACTCAGGCACCGTGGGGGAGCTGCGGCTCGTCACGGGCTGCGTGGCTCCTCGCCTCCCCGGCGTCCCCTCACCAGGCCTGCACACACACGCAATCGGAGCAGCACGCGGGTGCGCGTCAGACACCAGCCTCACCGACAGCCGTCTCTCTGCGAGCGGAAAGCCAATCCTGGGGCGGGCGGGGGCGGGAAGCAGGTACTGGGTCTCCTCTAGAAATTTTTATCCTCAATACAGTCATAATCCAATTCATAACGAATTTATAAAAATAGCTTTTTATCCAATAATTCCAGCAAGGTAAAAATAGGAGCTTCTTTTTCAGTATATATAGCAAATGAAACAGGCTCACGGAAGACGGGAGAGCTGGGCTTGGTGGAACCGCCGTCTGCGCCCTCCGGGGTCACGCACGGTCTGCTCATGTGCGGCCGGCAGCTCTCGCTGGCACGTCGGCCGCGGAGCGTCCCGCAAACCCGCGGGCCACGAGCAGGCGGCGCTGCTCAGATCAGAGAACGGCGCGCTGCTCCTTAACCCACGCACGGGCTCACGCGCCACGGCTCTAGAGTTAACTTTAAAAACCCACGCACACGCACACGCACACGCACACGCAGAGGAGTCGCTGCACTGGCGAAGACGCTCCGGAAGCTTGCTAGGAAATACAAAAGTGCACTTCTATATCTACATATAAAACAATTAGGAATAAAACTGTAAGACGTTTGCTGTGCAAACTATAAAACGTCCGCTCGCGGCCGAGGCCCGCCTACTGCAGGGAGTCACTGTTCTCCAGCACGAGCCCCCCGATGTGCGCGGGGGCCAGTGCGCCCCCGTCGTCCTCCGTGCTGTCGGCCGACTCGTCCTCGCTCTGCCCCGCCATCATGACCTGCTGCACGGCGAGCGTGGCCCCGGCCGAGGACAGGGACTGCAGGCTGTCCACGTTCACGGGCGTGGTGATGGTCACGACAGCGCCTGCAGCAGAGCACCGCGCGTCAGCACCGCGTTCAGGGCTCAGAGGGAAGCAGCACCCACCCGGCTCGGTTTGCTTTCCAGGCCCGAGTGAGACACCCGCGTGTGTGACGGACGCCGAGCGGGCAGGTGGCGGTTTCTGGAGCTGGTCCCAGACCACGCGCACCTGCCGGGGTCCTGGCTGCCGCCGCGCACCAGGACAGAGGGAGCAGCACCTCCGGGCACAGCGCTGCCGGAGAGCACAGGACCAAGGAACTGGACAGAGTGAGACGAGCGAGATGGGCCGGCGGACAGAAGGAAGGGAAGTGAGGTGAGAGTGAGGGAGATCAGTGTGAGGGGACCCCAGAGTCACCCCACAGCCTGCAGCAGAGGACGGAGTCACCCCGACAGCCACCAGCAAGGCCCAGAGGCATGCGACAGGCCAGAAGGAGCCCGCATCGCCAAGATGGTTACCCAGCGAGGGAGACAGGGGACTGTACTACCGGAGCTGCTAGCAGTGGGGCGAGCTGTTTAGAGATGGACTCAGGGGCCGGCGCTGGGGCGTAGCGGGATAAGCCGCCGCCTGCAGTGCTGGCACCCCATGGCACTGGTTTGAGTCCCAGCTGCTCTCTGCTACGGCCTGGGAAGGCAGTGGATGACGGCACAAGTCCTTGTGTCCCTGCACCCACGTGGGAGACCCAGAAGAAGCTCCTGGCTCCTGGCTTCACCTGGCACAGCCTTGGCCGTTGTGGTCACTTGAGGAGTGAACCAGCAGATGGAAAAAAAAAATCTCTCTCTGTCTCTCCTCTCTTTCTCTGTGACTCTGCCTTTCAAACAAATAAATCTTTTTTTAAAAAGAAAGACGGGTTTGTTTGTTCGTGAGTCTGCACAGCACACCAGGCCCTGTGTGCCCCGAGCACAGGCAGGAGGGCGGGGTGGCTGCGCAGCCAGGGTGAGAGGCTTGCTCTCCACCGGGCCCGGCCGTCTGCAGCACACAGCACTGCCTCTCCCAGGGGACGGGGAACAATGACGCCTAACTCACTCCTACAGCAAACACTGGAGACGTGAGGTCGAAGCACGAACACGACGTCGTGACATCCAAGCCCACGTGAGGAAGAGGAAGCCGTCCTGGGGACTTCGCTTCAGAGCGCACAGCTCCAAGGGGCTTGCGGGGACAGCGAGTGTGGCTGACACCCGTGCGGCGGGCCACATCCCAGCCGCAGGCCTGCATGCGGGCAGGAGAGGTCATGGAGAACGGCGCCCCGGGCCCCCCGGCCACCAGCCACCGAGAGGTCTGTCTGTGCTGCGGGCACGGTCGGCCCCCTCAGGCCACCGCTGTGGACCACCCAGCAGGTCACGGAGCCAGACCTCAGGGAGCCAGCTGCTCCCAAGTCCAGCATGCACACTGCAGGAGGCGCTCAGGACACACAGCACCCAGCACCCTGTGCCCGGCAACGCTCACAGCGTGCCAGCAGCCAGAGAGCAGCCGGCCAGCCCCGGCCAGCCCCGGCCAGCCCCGGCCGGCCCCGAGCTGACAGACGCCCAGGCTAGCACCAGGTGTACAGCTGCGCCTCCCATGGTCAGAGCGGAAGCAGGCTCAGGCCTCCAGGGAGGTGGCCACTGTGACATCGAAGGTGAGAAGCACCTGGACCCTGCAGAGGGGACACTCATGAAGCCCAGGGGTGAACTGTGAACTCACAGAGGCAGCGTCTGCTCCCTCGGGAGGGGGGTGGGGCCCAGGACGACCCTTGGCCCTCCCTGCCCCAGGCAGCGCCCCGGTGCCACCGCAGGAAAGCAAGCAGTGCCAGACTCCACCACCGACACACGCGACAGATACGTCAGAGCGGCCGCAGGGGACAGAGGTCACGGGTGGAGGGGGGTGCACGTGGTGAGAACAGGGTCCTTCCTTCCTCGGTCCCCACGGCTGAGGGGAAAACAGGATGGGCAGGCAGAGTGCCGGGCGCACGGGTGCCACGTGAGACGCCACTGGCCCCTGCCCCACGCCACTCTCTGTGCGGGGACGCGACCACCCCTCGGGCCTCTGCGCGAGGCGGAGAGCTCAGGGAACGGCCCGCCCACTCCGGCTTGGGCTGCCCGTACCTTCCGGCATGGTGAGCTCACTTGGCGGAGGCTGTGCGACTCCCGACGCGATGGAGTCCGGCCAGAACCTCTGAACCGGCCTGCTCTGAGCTGTTTTTTTCTTTGTTTTTGGGGTCTCTGAGCAACTGGAATCCAGCATGGGCTGAAGAATCCGTCTCCGAGCGTTGATGAACCTGGGAATCAGCAGGGAACCTGTGTCAGCGACCCTGCACAGTGGCCCTCCAGCGCGCCTGCCTCGTACGCCAGGCTACCAAGAACTCAGGCCCCACCGCAGACGCCAGCAGCATTACCGGACGTCCCGCCGCCCTGGGGAGGAGCAAGCCCTGCGGACGGCACGTGGGGAGCTGGGCCCGCAGTGGCGGTGCTGCCCGTGGGGAATGAGTCCAAGCAGGTCCTGCCCAGCCCACCCCCGCCCACACGGCGGCCCCTCTGCCTCTGGGTGGGACGACAGGCTGAGCCACCCACGAGCGACTGCCAGTCCCATCCTCGGTCTACACAAAGCATGGGTCTGGGGGAGGCCTGGGCCGCCTCTGTGCTGCTGTGATGGAACCCTCGGGCCCCCCACGGCCTCGTGGGGCCGCGCGCCCGTGTGTGAGCTGTCCGCACACATAGCTGGGCTGGCAGGCGGCTGGCACGGGGTTTCCTGTCAAATGAACACGGGGAGAGACCCTTCTTTTCAGGCTCCATCCCTCTGAGTGCCCCCAGCTGTGGCCTCTAAACCTAAGAAGCCAGAGGGTGGCGGGGGGAACCAGTGTTTGCAAGGAGACCCCAATACCCCAATAGCTTTCCCCTCTGTGGTAGCCAGAGTGCAGTCTCTGTGCCGCCACGCCACTCCTCGCCGTGGGCGGCCCTGCAGGAGAGCCAGCCAGCAGCACGCAGAAGCTCGGTGGGGTCAGAGCCTGTCTACACTCAGGACCCCTTGGTAGGCACCCGAGGCGCGGGGGCCCCTCTGCTTCTCCGCAGTCGCATGAGTCACCAGGCAGGTGGCCGCTTGCCGGGCTCACACACGCTGTCTAGGAAAGGCCTGACCTCTGGACAGCGGGGGGCTGTGCTCACGGGGCCATGGAGACGGGGCGCTCGCCACTTGCCCTGACACCCTCTCTTCCAGTGCCCTCACCTGCAGAACACAACCAGCACCAGGCTGGCTCCCAAAGACTCAGCTTCAGGCTCTAAGAGGAGAGCACACAGGATACGTTCTAGCAACAAGAGAATGGGGCTCAGTACAGGTGAGCGTGACCCACAGGCACCCACAGGCCCTGGGGAGGCCCTGCGCTCTAGTGACCAAGCTCAGCTCTCGCAGAGAGGCCGCTGTGTAATCACAAAATGAAACAGTTACAGCTACAAATATCAAAATGTTACAACTCTTAAAACTTTTTATAAAAGATTGTTTACTTAAAAGTCAGAGTTGGGGCTGGTGCTGTGGCCTAGCCGGTAAAGCCACCACCTGCAGTGCTGGCATCCCATATGGGCACAGGTTCAAGTCCTGGCTGCTCTACTTCCAATCCAGCTCTCTGGCCTGGGTCAGAGCTGGCCTGAGAAAGCAGCAGAAGACGGCCCAAGTACTCGGGCCCCTGCACCCACATGGGAGACCCAGAAGAAGCTCCTGGCTCCTGGCTTCAGATGAGCTCAGCTCTGGCTGTTGCAGCCATCTGGGGAGTGAACCAGCAGATGGAAGACCTCTCTCTCTCTCTCTCTCTCTCTCTCTCTCTGCCTCTCCTCTCTCTGTGTAACTCTGACTTTCAAATAAACAGATAAATCTTTATAAAAAAAAAAAAAGGCTTGAATGTGAAATAACAGAAATAGTTAATGAGACACCAAAGCACAGCTCTTGCATAACTCACAAACAGGAATATTTTTACCATTTGCATCAGAACTTTAACAAATTTATATTTTGGCACACTTAAAGTAAAAAGGTAATGTTCACAAGTGTTAGAATTTGTTTTCCTTTTAGGCCAATCTTTACGCGCCTGGAACTGCTCCCTGCATCTGAACAATGAGAGAATTAAGCGAGACAATGGCTCACAAGCAGTCACGTGTGCCCCACACACCGGCGGTCAGCCTGTGGGCTGGGCCCACGCGTAGCTGAGGCCAGAACTGGGGCGCTGTTCCGTGAACGCACGCTCTCCTGGAAGGGACCCTGGCTAGTGTGCTGTGGGAGCCCACGAGGGGTCAGGACGCCCAGCCTCCCCACTGCAGAGGCGCAGCCCCTAAGACACCGTTTGAGGACGGGGACTCAGGGCGGCGGCGCACCAGGGAGACAGTCTAGCCAGGCAGCGGCGAGCGGGACGCTCAAGCCCAGGCTGAGTGCCGGCGTCCCGTGAGCACTGGCCAGAGTTCGGCCAGTCGCGTGGACGCGGTCTCTCAGCGCAGTCTCACTACGGACGGACGTGGGTCCGACTGCCAGGTGCTCCGGTGGCCCCACTGGGGGCGGGCTGCGGCTTACCAGTTGTTAACCTGGAGCAGCGTCAGGTTCGTCTGAGCAGCGATCTGCTTCTTCTCGTCTTCCGTCGGGTAGGGGTGCTAGAAACGAGAGAGGAGGGTCACCACGGCTTCCGCTTCCCAAAGGGGGCGGGGCCGGGAGCTGTCACCCAGAGCAACCTCTGTGAGAAGCCGCCAGGAAGGGTGGTGCGGCGAGGGCGTCACCAGGCTCAGCGTGAAGTCCGGCACATGGCGGGGCGGGGCGGGGCGGGCGCGCCGGGCGGTTGCGGAGCTCTGCGGTGCACCTCAGCGCCACTTACTGGGCTACCGGCAAACAGGAGACCGCCGCCCCGCTGCACAGCGCGGTCCCGATCCCTCACAGGCACCCCAGAGACGCGGCTCACAGCCAAGGAAACTGAGGCACGGGCCGACAGGTGGAGGTGGCGCCTCTGTCCCAGGCACCGGGGCTGGACCCGGGGCTGCATACAGCAGTGTTCCTTCTTTACAAACGACTGAACACATTCCACTTACAAACAAACCAGACGGTGGCCCAGTAGGTTAGGCTGCCACCTGCAACGCTGGCACCCCGCATGGGTGCAGGTTTGTGCCCTGACTTCTCCACTTGCAATCCCAGCTCCCGCACGTGCGCCTGGGAAAGCAGAAGACCCTAGTGCTTGGGCCCGGCACCCTCCTGGGAGACCCGACGGAGCTCCTGGCTTTCCTGACCCAGGCTGGGCCATTGCGCCATTTGTACATCTCTCTCTAACTCAACCTTTCGAATAAATCTTAAAAAAAGAAATAATGGCCAGAAGTCAACGTCAAAATTCACAGAAGAACCATGGAGAATGGTTTCTGCCTTCTGTAATATGCAATTTATCCACGACCGCCTGCACGTGGAAACCAGGGAGACGTCAGCTCAAACCCTGCCTGCCCGCGAGTCCCTTACTTGGGTTCAGCCCGGGAGTGAACAGCACCAGCAAGGCAGCGTGGGCATCACTCTGGTTTTGGTTTCCAACGGGCACCCGATTCGAGCGGCAAAGTCATGGCACACTTCCCCCGACACTAACAACAGGACGACCAGGTGGTGCTGCTGGGAGCTCCAGGCTGCAGAACAGGGACCCTCTTCTGACCGTTTACAGCCTATAAAATAGAGGGGGCGGGAACCCAGCCCGGCCGGAACAGAGCAATGGCCAATGCTGCCCTGGAGCCCAGGACGGCCGCGGAGGACAGGCCCGGCCAGGACGGCGGCGGGGCACACAGCGCCTCCCGGGAAAGAAGGTGGAGCACCGCGCAGTCCGTGAGCGCGGCTTCCAGCTTCCAGAAAGTCAACATTAAAGGAAACCCAACCCGCCACTTCTTGTGCTGTGACCACTGCATCCCAGGTGCGTCCACGGGCCAGAATCACGGCATTTAAAAACACCTATTCTCTGCTCTCACTCCAGAGCTTCACCGCCCAGGTTAACGCCTGCACAACACTGCACCCAGCTGCGTCCTGACCCGCGCACCAGGCTCACTTCCCGCCACCGTCACGAGATGGCTCCCAGCTCCGACCACCACACTTCCTCCTCTGGCGACTGTCTTTCCAGGCTGATCCTGGAGCCGTGCGGCTGCTCCAAGCCCACACCGCTGCCTTGTGCGGAGGGACACGGCTCAGCGAGGACAGAACTGGAGCTGACAAGGAAAGCAGCTGCAGCCAGAGAGCTGGGGGTCCCCCACCAGAGGCGGGGCCTTCGCCACCCAGGACTGTGCGACATCACCCCGCCCTCAACCGGGGGCCCAACGGCAGTCAGGGGACAGGGCGGGCACTCAGCCACGAAGGGCTACACCCTGCAGGGACCCAGGGCAACCCAGACAGGGTGCTGCTCGGGGGCCACGGCCAGGCGGAGGACGGAGACAGACTGCCTATGGGCAGACATGGGCTCGGCTGGGCGGGCGGCGCCAAGGTGCTGAGGCAGGGACGGGGGGCGAGAGGAGGCCTCGGACACCTCTGCTGGTGGCAGCAGCACAGTGGGGCTGAGCCAGAAGCCAGGGCGAGACCTGGACACACGAGGTGGTGACAACAGCCAGCACAGATGCCTGGACCGGAGCCGGCCGCAGAGGGGCCGCACGAGGTCACAGGGCGGGGTGAGCCCTACCGGCCTACAGAGGTGGCCCCCGAGGCTCCCTCCTGCGCTCCCCCTGGCCTCACTGCGCCCTCGTCCTGAGCACCAGGCCTGCTTACCTCTGCCCTGGCTCTAGGGCAGGGGCTGGCCCATGTCCGCCCACTGACGGAGCACAGATGTCCTCGGAAGAAGCTGCCGCCCCTCTCAGCCCGGGGAGCTGTGAACCGAGGTGTGCCGGTGCCAGGCCACCTCCTCTCGGTGCACCGTAAGCCCTCGGCATCTCCATCTGCAACCTGTCACATCCCTTCGAGGCCCACTCGGACGCACACGGCGTCTCCCACGGACCTCCCTCACTCTAGACGGGCACACGGGCTCATGGTGCTCGTGGGCGGCGTGTACAGGGAGCCAAGATGGGAGAGCCGGGGAGCCGCTCCTGCGTGTGGGGAGACGCGCTGCTGTGCGGTGGGGCCCCCTGTATTTTACGCCTCGGGAGTCCACGGTGGCCTCCCTCTGCCCCTGCTCGACACAACGCCAACACCAACAGAGCGGATGGTCCCTGAACCTCCTCCCGCCTGGCCACGCGTGCCCCCGCGGCCCCAGTCCTCACCCCGATGTGCTGGAAGAGCCAGGAGCGCATCACGTTGGTGGCGTGCTTGGGCAGGACGCCCCGCTTGTTCTTGGAGGAGCCGTCATCTTGATGCAAGATGCTGAGGTCCTGGTTCAGCTGCAGCTGCAGCTTTCAAACAATTGAGAAACAGTGAGAAGGCACAGGAGGGGCCGGTCACAGCGCCGAGGGCAGACAGACGGCAGCCAAAGGCTCCTTATGGCAACGCAGACGCCTGGGGCCCAGCCGACTCAAAGCAGACGCCTGCGGCCCGGCCGACTCAAAGCAGGTGCCTGGGGCCCGGCGGACTTAAAGCAGAAGCCTGGGGCCGGCTGACTCTGCGGAGGCGGCTCCCCCACTTCCTAACCCCACACGGGTGACTCGGAGCGCCCTGCAGCAAGGAGAGCAGTGACGCTCTCACCTCCGGGCCTGAGCCGGCCAGGGGTGTTGGGAAGGCTGCGCCAGGGGACGGCCGCTGCCCAGCCACACTCCCTCAGCAGGCATGGAGGTGCTGACGTGCCCCCAGACTACCGAGGGGAACAGAAATCACGTTCTGTCAACTCTGTTTAATTTTTAAATGATTTATTTATTTATTTGAAAGGTAGAGTCAGAGAGAGAGAGAGAGAGAGAGAGAGAGAGGTCTTATATCCACTGGTTCACTTCCCAAGTGGCCCAACGCAGGAGCTGGGCCAATCCGAAGCCAGGGGCCAGGAGCTTCTTCCAGGTCTCCCACACGGGTACAGGGGACCAAGGAGTTGGGCCATCCTCCACTGCTTTCCCAGACCATAGGAGAGAGCTGGACCGGAAGTGGAGCAGCTGGGACTTGAAGCTGCGTCCATATAGGATGCCGGCACTGCGGGCAGCGGTTTTACCTGCTACGCCACAGCACTGGCTCCTGTCAACTCTATTTTAAAAGCAAAGGCCACACCTGGCCCTTCTCTGTGACAAGTCTAATCAAGTGGCTCTCCTCTAAACGAGGACAGCCACGTGCCCCCAAGCACTAGCCCGTAGGAAACAGAGCCCAGAGTGAATACACTATGACACGCAGAGGAAGAGAGAAGGTGGAACCGAAGGAAAGCTTCAAGTGTCTGAGCCAAGGAAGCGCACATCTTAAAAAAAAAAAAAAAAGGGCACAGAGGGCAAAGGGGAGCTCAGCCCCTCTGCTCCCGGGCCAGCTCCCTGACAGCGTGCCAGGGAAGGCAGCGGAAGGCGGTCCCAGTCCCTGGGCCCCGCCGCCCGCCTGGGACTCCTGGGCAGGGTTCCTGGCTCCTGCCTGGCCCGGCCACGTGGGGAGTGAACCAGGGGATCAAGGACCGGTCAGGCTGCCTTCCTCCCTCTCTCCATGCTCTGCTTTTAAAGTCCACGTTGACAGATCCGAAAGTACTCTCCTCCAACAGAATACAGCTGGCCCCGAAGGCGGCCCTGTCTTCACAGACGCTGTATAAACGTAGCACACAGGGCCGAGGGCGGCGCCGTGCGGCCCGCTCCTGCCTGCCCGGGCCCGGGCCCGAGCAGTCCCCTGGCCCTCTCCCAAGCCCCCGCCCTGCCCCTGCTGTCTGACTCTGGGGAATCTGTGAAGGCCCAGCGAGGACCTCGCCTGCCCGCAGCCAAGAGCAGCTGCAGACCCTCTGCGTTCGGCCGTGAGCTCCGCAAAACACAAGGGGTGAACAGGTCCAACCGCCGCAACAGGAGCCGGGCGGGCAGACGGCGTCTTTCTGAGACTTGGCTTTCAAAGAAGGTGTGCAGAGTGTGGTGTGTGTATAGTGCATGGTGTGTGTGTGCCGTGTGAGTGGTGTGCTTGTGTGTGGTGTGTGAATGGAGTGTGTGTGTGAATGGAGTGTGTGTGTGTGGTGTGTGCGTGAATGGAGTGTGTGTGTAGTGTGTGTGTAGTGTGTGGTGTGTGTGAGTGGTATGATACGTGTGGTGTGTGTATGTGAGGTGTGTGTGGTGTGATGTGAGTGGTGTGATGTGTGTGTGGTGTGTACCGAGTGGTGTGTCAATGTGTGTGTACAGTGTGTGAGTGGTGTGTAAATGGTGTGTGCGTGTGTGCTCACGTGACTCTAGACCTGAACGGGGCCCTGCAGCCCTAGCTCTGCACAGAGGTGAGGGCGAGAGGAGGGCAGGGCAGGGCAGGACGCCTGCCACACGGGCAGCCCCGCTCCGTCCCTGCTGCGCCTGCGGCTGCTGCCCGTCTCCTGGAAACCAAACTCCTGGGCGCCCAGATGCAGGGGAGGCGTGGCCGAGGAGAAGCAGGCGCAGTCTGGGGAGGGGGAGCGACTGAGAGCTGGGAAGCCCCTCGGGTTGGCATCACGGCTCTAAATGGAGCATTCCAGACGCAGAGGACACACAGCAGACACACAGGGACACACGGAGGACACACAGCAGACACACATGCACAGACACACACGGACACAGACACACGGAAGACACACAGCAGACACACATGCACAGACACACAGAGGACACACAGCAGACACACATGGACACACGGAGGACACACAGCAGACACACACGGACACACGGAGGACACACAGTAGACACATGGACACATGGGGGACACACAGCAGACACACACACAGACACAGACACGCGGAAGACACACAGCAGACACATGGACACAGACGCACAGAGGACACACAGCAGACACACATGGACACAGACACACGGAGGACACACAGCAGACACACATGCACAGACACACGGAGGACACACAGCAGACACACATGGACACACGGAGGACACACAGCAGACACACATGGACACAGACACACAGAGGACACACAGCAGACACACACGGACACACGGAGGACACACAGCAGACACACATGCACAGACACACGGAGGACACACAGCAGACACACACGGACACACGGAGGACACACAGCAGACACACATGCACAGACACACAGAGGACACACAGCAGACACACATGGACACACGGAGGACACACAGTAGACACATGGACACATGGGGGACACACAGCAGACACACACACAGACACAGACACGCGGAAGACACACAGCAGACACATGGACACAGACGCACAGAGGACACACAGCAGACACACATGGACACAGACACACGGAGGACACACAGCAGACACACATGCACAGACACACACGCACAGAGGACACACAGCAGACACACACAGACACATGGAGAACACACAGCAGACACACATGGACACACAGCAGACACACATGGACACAGACACACGGAGGACACACAGCAGACACACATGCACACAGACACATGGAGGACACACAGCTGACACACATGGATGCAGACACACACAGTCCAACCCAAGCCCCTCCCCCCGGAAGTGTGGCCAGGCTGTGGGTCTGCTGTGGCTCCTCAGGGGCCTGCACGGGGCAGGTCCTGGGGGCCCCGCGTGCAGAGGGCCCGAGCGTGCTGCTCCGACTTTGCTGGGTTTTCAACTTCCTGCAGTGAGGGAGATGACGATGACAAACAAAGCAAAGGGCTGGCACTGAGACTACCCAGAGGCTGCACAGGGCAGAGGGCAGAGGCTGCGCAGGACAGAGGGCAGAGGCTGCGCAGGACAGAGGGCAGAGGCTGCACAGGACAGAGGGCAGAGGCTGTGCAGGATAGAGGGCAGAGGCTGTGCAGGATAGAGGGCAGAGGCTGCACAGGGCAGGGCCCCCACCCGAGGGGATGCTGCAGCCCGTTCCCCTCTGCTCCCACGGCGAGCAGACTTGCCCCAAAGCCTTGCACGAAAGGCGCACGTACCTGTGAGTTCTGGATCCTAATGGTTCCGGGCGACAATGCCTGGGTGACCACCTGGCCCTGCGGAGTGACGACGGTGACCGGCTGATAGACCGTGCCGCCTCAAAGGGAGAAGGAGCGAGTCAGCCAACCACGGAGCCTCAGGGACCCAGACCGACCCCAGCGCCCCCGCACGCGGCGCAGAACACGGATTCTGCAGCTGCCTCCTGCTGCCTGCTCTGCCGCCACCCCGCCACGGCCAGCGCACATTAAGGTTCTGCACGACCAGCGCTGCAGTCCTGTTTGCCCCAGATGGCTTTCTTCCTGTGGGGCTCCCCTCCGTGCTGCTGCTGGCGGCTTCCCATTGTGAGCGACAGTGCGCATTCACACGGCGCTGTGACCCCGGGGTCTACCTGCACCCAGAGACCCGGGCTGTGCTGGTGGGGTCTACCTGCTCCCAGAGACCCGGGCTGTGCTGGTGGGGTCTACCTGCTCCCAGAGCACCTGGGCTGTGACCCCGGGGTCTACCTGCTCCCACACGGCGCTGTGACCCCGGGGTCTACCTGCTCCCAGAGACCTGGGCTGTGACCCCGGGGTCTACCTGCTCCCAGAGACCCGGGCTGTGCTGGTGGGGTCTACCTGCTCCCAGAGACCCGGGCTGTGCTGGTGGGGTCTACCTGCTCCCAGAGACCCGGGCTGTGCTGGTGGGGTCTACCTGCCCCCAGAGACCTGGGCTGTGACCCCGGGGTCTACCTGCTCCCAGAGACCCGGGCTGTGCTGGTGGGGTCTACCTGCTCCCAGAGACCCGGGCTGTGACCCCGGGGTCTACCTGCTCCCACACGGCGCTGTGACCCCGGGGTCTACCTGCTCCCAGAGACCCGGGCTGTGACCCCGGGGTCTACCTGCTCCCAGAGACCCGGGCTGTGCTGGTGGGGTCTACCTGCTCCCAGAGACCCGGGCTGTGACACCTGGGATCGAGGCTGCTCCCGCCGTCACCACCCCTTGGTGATACAATTCAAGGCTTCCCGAGCACTGTGAACGCACAGTCGGAAACCAAGCCACCTGGACTCACACTGTCTTTGCTCTGCATCTGCCTGTAGAAACCACTTTTTTCTTCTCAATGTGTTTTTGGTATAGAAACACAATTCGTGTAAAACATCTGTTAGCGAGGATTCCTAGGACACAGGCGTGCTAACGGCTCTAGCTGCTGACGCTACTGTCTCAGGATCGCGTCGGCAGGGTCTACCGCGGAAGCACGCGGAGGGGGCGCCCAGGGCCCGCCGTACCTGCCACCGCTGCCATGGTGACGTTGCCCTGCTGCAGGGCAGATGCGGGCACCACGATTCCTTGAGGGCTGAGCGTGCCCGTGATGGCGCTTTGAATCTGCTGGAAGTCAGAACACACGTCGCAGGAATTGTTAGAAAATGCACGGTCAGGTTCGCACTTCACAGTACGAGGCAGGACAGTGTCCTCAATAAAGCAGAGAACAGCGCGGATCCTGGGGAGCATCGCAGAGCGGGACGCCCAGGGCCAGCGCGACGCCAACACGGGTGCTGCTGCTCGGCGCGGCTTCCAGGAGACGGGTTTCTGCTTTCTTTCTAACCATGCATTTCTTTCAAACACTGAGCAGGGGTGGATCGGGGGCATAGAAACCCCACTGTTTACTCCCCAAACAGCTGCACGGGACGGGGCTGGACCAGTGTGAAGCCAGGAGCTCCGTCCGGGTCTCCCACACGGGTGCAGGGCCCAGGCACTTGGCCCATCTTCTGCTCCCTTCCCAGGTGCATTAGCAGGGAGCAGCAGGGCTCACACAGGCACTCTGGTTGGGATGCCAGCTTTGGAGGCGGTGGCTTAACCTGCTGAGCCACACTGCTGGCCCCACGAGGCTGTCCCCACCTCACGCCTCACGGCACACGCCTCGTCGCCACCGATCCGTGGCAGGCAGGTGCAGCTTTCTGGTCACCACGGCTTTGTCCACCCCCACACCTTTTTCCATGGATTTGGCTCAGACAGCTCTGAGTGTCCAGGAGCCAAATCCTCCTTGGCCAGATGAGCACAAAGAGTACAAGTTTGGGAGGCAGCTGGGAGTGACCTGGGCGGTGCTGGGGAGTCGCCCCTGGTGGCTGCCTTGACCACAGCCCCCCTCCTGTGAGATCAGGATTGGCCAGCAGCAGGCACACGCATGTGCTGGTGAACATGTGGGAGGCCCCCCCCACGTGAAGCTGGCTCTAAACGGGCTCCTTCTCCAGTCACTGTGACCGCTGTGTTGGCAGCTGGCCGGGGAAAGGGACACACGGCAAGCCCTGAGTCCCTGAGCAATTACATGGCACAGGTGCGTGCCGTCCAAGGCCACAGCTCTGCGGGCTCCCGGCGATTTGAACGTGTAAGTCTGTAGGTCTGTCTGAACATCTGCCATGGTAAGGCTTCTCGGCCTTTTGGCTAAGATCAGGTATAGTAACATCTGCCGTGGTAATCCGGTCAGAACAGAAGTTCAAGGTCAGACACCCCAATCAGCCATCCAAACCCACCCAGAAATCCTAAAGAACGGGGGAACAAAATGAACCAAGGAAAAGGAAGGGAATAAAAGTTCAGAGCAGTAATGAATGAAACCGAACAGAAAAACTAACGACACAGAATGCTGGTTCCTGAAAAAATCCAATACATAAAGGAACCTCCAGCAAGGCTGGAAGAAGAGAAAGCAAAGGAAAGACGCAACGCGGCTTCAGTTCAAGGAGGGGACGGCAGGGCCGGCTCCAGGCCCTGGAGACACCGAAGGTCAAGCAGGGAAGTGGACAACCCCACTCTTCCAAGCGGGAAATGCACCAAACCCTCCAGAAACGCACAGAGACACAGCCCGCCCAGCGTGAGCCGGCAACAGCCCCACAGCCTCGAGGGAGCCCAACTGCCAATTCAGAACTCCTACGCGGGGACTCGACAGGTCCCTGCAATTTTGGTGGGGAATGCTATCTATCGAATATCTAAAGGACTGATACCAATTCTACATAACCTCTCCCAGAAGACAGAAGAGGGAACACTCCCAATCTGGTTTTTATGAAGCCTATATCACCCAGACCCCAAACAGACAAAGCCCAAAACACAACACCGCGCCCTGCTGCCCCTTGTCAGCGTGCACAGGCTGCATCCGCCTGGCCTGGGCTCGGCCGCCGCGAGGCCTGTGCGGTCAGGCGGGGGCCGGCAGCGCGGCTCGGCAGGCTAAGCCGCCTTGAATCTGCTTAGAAACACAGTAGCAAACAGAATCCAGACGAGGGGGAAGAAGCAGCACCTGTGCGGCCAAGTGGCGTTTGTTCTAGCAGTGCCAGGCCCGTCCCACATTTAAGAAAGAGATCCTCGAGTCTCCCATGTAAGCAGACAAGAAAGTCACACGGTCAGACCCGCCACTCCCGAGAAAGCAGCTGGCAGAACCCAAGGTAAAACCCGTTCAGGAAGATGGCAGACGTGGGCAACTCCCCAACCTGATGAAGGTCTTGGAGACACAAGCTGTGGAGGACAGGCCCTGACAGGGCGGCAAGGCCAGCGTGTCTGCACCCACTCTCACTGGGCCCTGGCCGCTCCAGCCAACGAACAAAGGGATGAGGGTCCGAGAGGGAAAACAGAGCTGTCCCTACTTGCACAAGACGACTGGTACAAAATCCTAAGGAATCCACCCAAAACAAGCATCCGTCCACTTAGATCATCAGCGAGCCAGGTCAGGTCCCGGGACAGGGTGAACGCGCGGGCGGCGGCTGTGGCACGGCGGTGCAGCGCCAGCCAAGTGCTGCACACGCTGCTTCCCACACCCTCCCTGCTACTGTGCCTGGCTCAAAGACTCAGTCCCTGCCACCACGCGGGAGACTCAGCTGGAGCTCCAGGCTTCTGGCTCCGGCCGGGCCTGGCCCTGGCTACTGCGGCGCAGACCAGCGGACAGAAGAGTGCTCGCTCACTCCCTCTACTCCTCTGCCCAGCACTATTTCACATACACAAACAAATCTTTAAAAAAAGATAAATATTAAAAAATCAGTTATATTTCAAAATATCAACGTGAACAGGTGGACACAAAACTTCATTTTTTTTCTAAAGATTTGTTTTTTAAAGATTGATTTATTTCGGGCCGGCGCCGTGGCCCACTAGGCTAATCCTCCACCTGCAGCGCCGGCACCCCGGGTTCTAGTCCCAGTCGGGGCGCTGGATTCTGTCCCGGTTGCCCCTCTTCCAGGCCAGCTCTCTGCTGTGGCCAGGGAGTGCAGTGGAGGATGGCCCAGGTGCTTGGGCCCTGCACCCCATGGGAGACCAGGAGAAGCACCTGGCTCCTGGCTTCAGATCGGCACAGTGCTGGCCATGGTGGCCATTTTGGGGGTGAACTAACAGAAAGGGAAGATCTGTCTCTCTGTCTAACTCTGCCTGTCAAAAAAAAAAAAAAAAAAAAAAAAAGACTGATTTATTTTATTTGAAAGACAGAGTTACAGAGAGAGGTCTTCCATCGGCTGGTTCACTCCCCAGATGGCTGCAACGGCCAGAGCAGGGCTGATCCGAAGCCAGGAGCCAGGAGCTTCTTCCAGGTCTCCACGTGGGTGCAGGGGCCCAAGGACTTGGGCATCTTCTACTGCTTTCCCAGGCCATAGCAGAGAGCTGGATCGGAAGCGGAACGGCCAGGACTCGAATTGATGCCCACATGGGATACCAGCACTGCAGGTGGCAGCTTTACCCACTAAGCCACAGTGCCAACCCCTATTTATTTATTCGAAAGGCAAAGTTACAGAGAGGCAGAGGCAGAGAGAGAGAGAGAGAGAGAGAGAAAGAGAGAGAGAGAGAGAGAGGTCTTCCATCCACTGATTCACTCTCCAAATGGCTGCAATGGCCGGAGCTGCGCTGATCTGAAGCCAGGAGCCAGGAGCTTCTTCCAGGTCTCCCACGTGGGTGCAGGGGCCCAAGGACTTGGACCATCTTCTATTGCTTTCCCAGGACACAGCAGAGACCTGGATTGGAAGTGGGGCAGCCAGGATTCGAACCAGCATCCATATGGGATGCCGGCACGGCAGACCGGGGCCCTTAGCCCACTTGTCCCACAGCGCCAGCCCCAGGATACAAAAATTTAAAATATCATTTATAGGTCAGCGCCACGGCTCACTAGGCTAATCCTCCACCTGCAGCGCTGGTACCCCGGGTTCTAGTCCTGGTTGGGGCGCCGGTTCTGTCCCCGTTGCTCCTCTTCCAGTCCAGCTCTCTGCTGTGGCCCGGGAGTGCAGTGGAGGATGGCCCAAGTGCTTGGGCCCTGCACCAGCATGGGAGACCAGGAGGAAGCACCTGGCTCCTGGCTTCGGATCGGCATAGCGTGCCAGCCGTAGCAGCCACTTGGAGGGTGAACCAACAGAAGGAAGACCTTTCTCTCTGTCTCTAACTCTGCCTGCCAAAAAAAAAATTATATATATATAATTTACAATCAAACAAATAAATACTTGTGCGTAATTCTACAAACACATGTTTGGCGCAGTGGTCAAGACACCACAGGACGCCAGTGTCCGTACTGGAGGACCTGGGTTCAAGCCCTGGCTCCACTTAAGATCCAGCTCCCGCTAATGTTCACCCTGGTGCCTCGGCCACCCACCTGGGAGACCTGGATTAACTCCCAGCTCCTGGATGTGACCTGGCCAAGCCTTGGCTTTTGTGGGCACTGGGCAGTGAGCCAGCAGGCAGAAGATCTCTCTTTCTCTCTGCCTTTAAAATACAACTAAAAATTTTAAAAGAAAATAAAGACACACGTACAGGACTTCTACGTGCAAGCTACAAAGCATGGACAAAAGATCAGCTGCGACGCAAGTCAGTGGAGCCTGGAGACGTACCGCGTCTGTAATCAGAAGACCCAGAGACGTACCGCGTCTGTAATCAGAAGACCCAGGAGGATGACGATTCTACCCAGACGACACACAGGTCGTGCACGTTTGCAGATCCAGACAAGGAAAATTTGCCTGAAAAGGCGAAAGCAGCAGAATGGCTGGAGTGACTCTGAGCAGAGGACTTGGCCCACCAGGTGCCGGGGCTCCCTGGGTAACACAGAGGCGATGACACAGACCCCAGATGGTGCCGCAGGGGCCAGGCAGACGCCCGTCCGAGCTGCAGAGGTGCAGAGAGCGGCTCCGGGGGGAGAGCTGCTTTGTCAGCGAACGGCCTTCTCAGACCAAACAGCCTCAAGCTGAATTTCACACCTGACACAAAAGTCCGCTCAAAACAGACCGCGGGTTTAAACGTAACCGTGAAGCAACTCTGAGAGAAGAACACGGGACACGATCGTTAGGCTCGGCACTGGGCGGAGCGGTCGTGGACTTGCCGAGAGCGTGGTCCCTCAACGGCAGAGCCGATGAACCGTGCTCGGTCAACACTAAGGATGCTCGAGCTGCACTGAGCACCTGCTAAGGCGCCAGAAGACACTCGGCGACAGACCTGGGGAAGCTGCCAGCCGGTCCTCAGGGCCTGGCACCTGGAACAGGCTTACGGCGAAAATCGTCCAGCTGGGAGACGGGAGAGGAGTGCCGCCTGGGGCGCCGGCGTGCCCCAGCAGAGCGCTGGTTCAAGTCCCGCCTCCACCCCCACCCCCAGCTTCCTGCTGCTCTGCTCAAGTACTTGGATCCCTGCACCCTCCTGGGGCGCCCTGTGGAGGTCCAGGTTGCTGGCTCTGGCCTGGCCCAACCCTGGCTGTTGGGGACGTTTGGGGAGTGAACCGGTAGGTGGAAGGTGCTTTCCAATTAGATAAACAAAGGAACCAGAGGAGAGAGAGGCTGGGCAGGGCCTCAGCAGGCGCTGACCAGAGAAAACACGATGGGCATGAGCCCAGGGAGACACTGGCACCACGTGGAGGAGCCCACATCTGTGAGGTCCCTGGAGCGGCCACATCCACGGTGACCAACAGTGGGGTAGGGGAGGGAGGGCGGGAGCTGTGTTTAAGGGGACAGAGGTTCGGGGTGGGAGGGGGATGCAGTCCTGGAGGCGGATGCTGGTGACGGCTGCATAACCATGACAACGCCCATGATGCCCCCGACCGCACGCTCAAATGGCGAATTTTATGCTTTTTTCTATCACAGAATCTTATATGTGTAGGAAAAAGTCACAAGAGAACAGTACCCTGGTACCCACGAACACAGGACGGGGAGCCTACACAGACCCGGGACTCAGTCCACAGCTGCTCAAGGCCCAGGCACACGGGCCCTGTGCCGGTGCTGAGCCCCGGAGGGCCCCTGGGGTCAGGGCCGCCGCGGCGGGGCCTGCGAGTACCTGGGCCTGCACGGGGGAGTAGGGGCTCCCCGGCTCCCCGCTCAGCAGCGTCTCGCTGTTCATCTTGGTCTTGAGGCACGCGATGTAGCGGCTGCAGAAGTCTTTGCACAACTCGTTCACCTTCTCCAGCTCCAGGAGATGGATGCGCAGGACCTGGATGGCCTTCACCATCTGGACGCAAGAGGAGAGACGTCACGGGCAGGAGAGGTGGCATCGTACGCGGGCCCTCATCAGCGCCTCGACCAGCTCGACCGTGGGAGCAGAGATGCCACCCCCAGACGGGCTTTGGGAACCGGCCGCGCCTCCTGTGAGGGGCAGGAGCCCCGGGCCGACCCCAGTCCCGAGCTGACGTGTGAGCCCGCGCCCGCAGCCGGCCCGTCTCACGGGCTCCGTGGCTGGCCGTCTCCCAGCCTTGCTCCGCTCCGGCTCTACGTCTTAACTAGGACACGGAGGGTTCCTAGGTCGACCAAGCTCAGCTTGTCAGCTCCGCCTTCCACAGGCCGTGGTCGCGTGCCCAGTCTGAAAGGCTACGCCTCGCCCTCAATGCCACGGAGTTCCTGATTTTTCTGAAAGGTTCACATTAAGTCACTAAGTTTCAGGGGAATCTGTCTCACGACTGGGGTAACTAACGTCAACGATGAAACCATCCGAGAACAACCTGCCCAAAGCCTGCCGAACCTGCCGCGTGGGGAGGGCTCCGCGGAGCAGCAGCCTCGGACACCACTCAGACGCCTGCGCCCTAGGTGGGAACGCCCGGGGCCGGTCCCGGCCACCCCCGCTTCTACTCACTGCACCTGGGAGGCAGTGACTGCCAGCCCAGAACCTGGGTTCCTGCTGCCCACACGGGAGACCCTGACGAAGCTCCTGGCTCCTGGCTCTGGCCTGGCTCAGCCCCACCTGTTGTGGTTCTTTGGGGAGCCGGCAGATGAAGCTCTCGCTCCATCTCCCCGCTCGTCACCTGCCTTTCAGATAAGCACACACGTTAGACAGGAAAAGTCTGCTAGAGACGGGGCAGACAGCGGGCACAGCAGCTGAGTCGCACCTGGGACACCTGCATCCCACAAGGTGCTTGGTTCGAGTCCCGGCTCCTCACTTCTGATTCAACTGCATGCTAACACGCGACCCAGGAGGCGACAGGTGATGGCCCAAGCACGGGGTCCCTGTCGCTCACATGGACAACAGACTGAGCTTTGGGCTCTGATGTCAGCCTTGCTAGCCCTGACGCTGTAGGCATTTGGGGAGTGAACCAGCAGACGAAACACTGCTCTCCCTGTCCATCTCTGTGCCTTTCAACTAAAATGAAAAACTTTTTTTAAAGATTTATTTATTTGAAAGGCAGAATTACAGAGAGGCAGAGGCAGAGGCAGAGAGAGAGAGAGGTCTTCCATCCACTGGTTCACTCCCCAGATGGCTGTAACGGCCGGAGCTGTGGCGTCTCAAAGCCAGGAGCCAGGAGCTTCCTCCAGGTCTCCCATGTGGGTGCAGGGACCCAAGGACTTGGGCCATCTTCTACTGCTTTCCCAGGCCACAGCAGAGAGCTGGATCAGAAGCGGAATGGCCAGTACTCTAACCCATGTGGGACGCTGGCACTGCAGGCAACGGCTTTACCTGCTACGCCACAGCGCTGGCCCCAGAAAATGAAAATTTTAAAACAAAGTCAGCGCCAGCCTCTGACGTGCAGGGCCGTCTTGTCAGAGAACGCCGCTGAAGTCACACCCGTGTGCCGTGTGACCAGGCAGTGTGCGGCAGGAGTGCCCACAGCAGAGCGCTGAGTCCTCTGTCCACTGGGGACGGGTGCCCACGCTGTCTGACAGAGGAGGCTGGAGCGCCCGTCACTGCCCGGTCCCTCTCCATACCGTCCACTGGGGACGGGCGCCCACACTGTCTGACAGAGGAGGCTGGAGCACCTGTCACTGCCCGGTCCCTCTCCGTCACCATCTACTGGGGACGGGCGCCCACGCTGTCTGACAGAGGAGGCTGGAGCGCCCGTCACTGCCCACTCCCTCTCCATACCGTCCACTGGGGACGGGCGCCCACGCTGTGATAGAGGAGGCTGAGCGCCCGTCACTGCCCGTCACTGCCCATCACTGCCCACTCCCTCTCCATACCGTCCACTGGGGACGGGCGCCCACGCTGTCTGACAGAGGAGGCTGGAGCACCTGTCACTGCCCGGTCCCTCTCCATACCGTCCACTGGGGACGGGCGCCCACGCTGTCTGACAGAGGAGGCTGAGCGCCCGTCACTGCCCATCACTGCCCGCTCCCTCTCCTTACAGGAGCGCGCAGGCGCAAGCTCTCCAGGCGGGCAGAGCTCAGGACGCCTGAGCAGCCTGAAGGCGGAAGCGGCCCACTTACCAGGCTGTCCGTCTCGGGGTCCTCGCAGAAGAAGGGCTTCCCTTCCTTCTCCTGCTTCCGGACGAAGTTCTCGATGTCCACATCGAAGCTGGCCGATGTGGTGCCTTCCGAGCCCTGCGTGGACTGCTCGCACTTCTCCAGCAGCAGCGCTAACAGCGGAAACAGCGGGTGCCTGGGAGAGCACGGGCAGCAGAGGGCGGCCCGTCACTCTGGCGGCCGAGGGCGGCGCCGTGCACCTGCGCTCCTGCGTGGGCCCCCCGGGTCTTCAGCGCGTCCCCAGGGTGGCGCCGTGCACCTGCGCTCCTGCCGTGGGCCCCCCGGGGTCTTCAGCGCGTCCCCAGGGCGGCGCCACCGCGCTCCGGCCGTGGGCCCCCCGGGGTCTTCAGCATGTCCCCAGGGCTGCACCACCACGCTCCGGCCGTGGGCACCCCGGGGTCTTCAGCACGTCCCCAGGGCTGCGTCACCACGCTCCGGCCGTGGGCCCCCCGGGGTCTTCAGCGCGTCCCCAGGGCTGCGCCACCGCGGTCTCAGCCAGTGTCAGGACATTCCGTCACCCCTGGGAGAAGCCCTGCCAGGCCCATCTCCCCACACGCCAGCCCACAACCCATCCACCTATCCATGGACGTGCCTGCCCAGACACCGCACACAGGAGCAACACCGCCCTGCGGAACCGCTGAGGTCGGCCTCACTCCACTTCTCAGCGTTGTAGAACACATCAGAAGTTCACCTGCTGTGAGGCTTTTTTTTTAAATTTATGTTTCTGTAAAGATGTGTTTATTTAGGGGCTGGCACAGCTGTGCTGCAGCGTAGCCCTGGCCCATAGCGCCGCCATCCCATACAGGCACCTGTTAGAGTCCCGGCTGCTCCACTTCCAATCCAGCTCCCTGCTGTGGCCCGGGAGGCAGCAGAAGACGCCCGAGTGCTGGGCCCTGCACCCACGTGGGAGACCCCGATGGAGCTCCCGGCTCCTGGCTTCAGCCTGGCCCAGCCCTGGCTGCTGTGGCCACTTGGGGAGTGAACCAGCAGATGGAAGACAGATCTCTCTCTCTCTCTCTCTTTCAAATACATAAATAAATCTTTTAAAAAAACATTTACATTTTATTTGAAAGTCAGAGTTAGAGACAGAGGGAGGCAGAGGGAGGGAATCTCCTATCTGTGGTTCACTCCCCAGATGGCTGCAACGGTCAGGGCTGGGCCCGGCAGAAGCCAGGACCCCATCCGGGTCTCCCGCGTGGGTGCAGGAGCCCGGGCGCTCGGCCGCCGTCTGCTGCCTCCCAGGTGTTAGCAGGGCTGGACTCCGTGCTTCCAGAGCGGGCCCAGGCGGCCCGGGCAGCACACCCGTGTCCAGGACGCCCGCCTTCCGTCCGCGAGCAGACCCCTTTGTCCACAGGCTCCTCAGAAAAGCACGCCGGGAGGCCTCCTCCTGCCAGCAATCGTGAGGCGTGGCTGGGGGCGTCCCTGGACAAGGCGCTGCGTGGGCTGAGCCTTCACGCTCCGGGGCGCACACCAGGAGTGGACTGCTGGCTCGGACCTGACTCTAGGCTTAACTTCCGGGGACCGGCCAGGCTGCTGCACACCCACTAGCCACACGCCTGGATTCCGACGGCTCTATCAGCACCTGTTGTTGTTTCCTACCTGGTGTGAAGTGGTCTACCTCTGGTATTTACTGCACGACGCAGGCAGACAGACCTCGTGCGGAAATACAGATCCTCCCAGCCAGCACCCCGCACAGCACCCACCTCTCAGACAGCACCCCGCACAGCACCCACCTCCCAGCCAGCACCCCACACAGCACCCACCTCCCAGCCAGCACCCCACACAGCACCCACCTCCCAGACAGCACCCCACACAGCACCCACCTCCCAGACAGCACCACACACAGCACCCACCTCTCAGCACCCTACACAGCACCCACCTCCCAGACAGCACCCCGTACGGCACCCACACCTCAGCACCCCGCACAGCACCCACCTCCCAGCACCCCACACAGCACCCACACTTCAGACAGCACCCCACACAGCACCCACCTCCCAGACAGCACCACACACAGCACCCACCTCAGACAGCACCACACACAGCACCCACCTCCCAGACAGCACCACACACAGCACCCACCTCTCAGCACCCTACACAGCACCCACCTCCCAAACAGCACCCTGTACGGCACCCACACCTCAGCACCCCGCACAGCACCCACCTCCCAGCACCCCACACAGCACCCACACTTCAGACAGCACCACACACAGCACCCACCTCCCAGACAGCACCCCGCACAGCACCCACCTCCCGGCACCCTGCACAGCACCCACCTCCCAGACAGCACCCCGCACAGCACCCACACCTCAGCACCACACACAGCACCCACCTCCCAGCACCCCACACAGCACCCACACTTCAGACAGCACCACACACAGCACCCACCTCCCAGACAGCACCCCGCACAGCACCCACCTCCCGGCACCCTGCACAGCACCCACCTCCCAGACAGCACCCCGCACAGCACCCACACCTCAGCACCCCGCACAGCACCCACCTCCCAGCACCCCACACAGCACCCACACTTCAGACAGCACCACACACAGCACCCACCTCTCAGACAGCACCACACACAGCACCCACACCTCAGCACCCTGCACAGCACCCACCTCCCAGACAGCACCCTGCACAGCACCCACCTCTCAGCACCCTGCACAGCACCCACCTCTCAGCACCCCACACAGCACCCACACCTCAGCACCACACACAGCACCCACCTCTCAGCACCCCGCATAGCACCCACACCTCAGCACCCTGCACAGCACCCACCTCTCAGCACCCCGCACAGCACCCACCTCTCAGCCACACACAGCACCCACCTCTCAGACAGGACCCACCTCTCAGACAGCACCCCGCACAGCACCCACCTCTCAGCACCCACCTCTCAGCACCACACACAGCACTCACCTCTCAGACAGGACCCACCTCTCAGACAGCACCCACCTCTCAGACAGCACCCCGCACAGCACTCACCTCTCAGACAGCACCCACCTCTCAGACAGCACCCCGCACAGCACCCACCTCTCAGACAGCACCCCACACAGCACCCACATCTCAGCACCCTGCACAGCACCCACCTCTCAGACAGCACCCCGCACAGCACCCACCTCTCAGACAGCACCCTGCACAGCACCCACCTCTCAGACAGCACCCCGCACAGCACCAGGAAACTGGAAGCAGCCCGTTGGTCACGGTCATTTGGGCACACGGTAGTGGTGCAGGACTGTGGGCGGCCGTGTGCGGGAGGGGAGACGCGGCCCCGTGGGCGGCCGTGTGCGGGAGGGGAGACGCAGTGCACGAGGAGTGGGCGCCCTCCACTCTCACACCCACCACTGCCCACTGCCGCCCTCCACTCCCACACCCACCACTGCCCACTGCCGCCCTCCACTCCCACACCCACCACTGCCCACTGCTGCCCTCCACTCCCACTCCCACCACTGCCCACTGCCGCCCTCCACTCCCACACCCACCACTGCCCACTGCCGCCCTCCACTCCCACACCCCCCACTACCCATTGCCGCCCTCCACTCACACACCTGCCTGTGCGGGATGGAGTTTAGGGTCGATCCCGTTGGGCTTGGATTGCACCGTCTTGGATTTATAACGTGCCCACACAAACATCCTCCAGGGACACGGAGCCCCCCCCGCCCCCCCCCCCCCGGGTAACCTGCAGTAACGCCTGTGCCGTCTCTTCCACGTCGCTGTCACAGACCCGTGACGTGGTCGGGTTTAACCCGTTTTTGTAGCAGTTCCAACTGGAACTGTCTCATGAAATTGTTAACTGCATTAATTCTGAAGCACATGATGCCAATTTGTAAAAACGTCTGCCCACTGTATTTTCAATTTTTTATTTAAAAAAATGACCCCAAACTGACTGCTCGTGATGGCCTAACGTGCGCACAGGTGTGTGTAAGCGGCACACCCTGGCACACCCTGTCCCACCCGGCCATCACACGGCCCTGCCCCATGCCCCACCCGCCGTGGCCGATGAGGCCTCCAGCACCGTCAGGGGCAGCCGCGCAGGTGTAACCCCACAGTCGTGGTCCTCGCTCCCTCGGCATTCACGCCAGCGCTGCCGGAGCCCGGCCCCTTCCCGTTCTCTGCCAAGTGCACCCCACGGGGTGTCTACACCACCAGCCGCCCACCCACCCGTCAGTACAGGAGCATCTGGGTTGTTCCCAGCTCCTGACAACTGTGACTAAGGCTCCCACGGACATCCGTGTGCGGCCACACAGGCGTACACACACCTGTGGGGCAGGACTCTAACATTAGTGTGTGGCCACACAGACGTATGCACACCTATGGAGCAGGACTCTAACATAAGTGTGCGGCCACACAGACGTACGCACACCTATGGGGCAGGACTCTAACATTAGTGTGCGGCCACACAGGCGTATGCACACCTATGGGGCAGGACTCTAACATTAGTGTGCGGCCATACAGGCATACACACACCTATGGCGCAGGACTCTAACATTAGTGTGCGGCCACACAGACGTATGCACACCTATGGGGCAGGACTCTAACATTAGTGTGCGGCCATACAGGCATACACACACCTATGGCGCAGGACTCTAACATTAGTGTGCGGCCACACAGATGTATGCACACCTATGGAGCAGGACTCTAACATAAGTGTGCGGCCACACAGACGTACACACACCTATGGCGCAGGACGCTGTAACATCCGTGTGCAGCCACACAGACGTATGCACACCTATGGCTCAGGACTCTAACATTAGTGTGCGGCCACACAGGCGTACACACACCTATGGGACAGGACTCTAACATTAGTGTGGGGTTACACAGACGTACACACACCTATGGGGCAGGACTCTAACATTAGTGTGTGGTTACACAGGCGTACACACACCTATGGGGCAGGACTCTAACATTAGTGTGTGGTTACACAGACATACACACACCTATGGCTCAGGACTCACTCTAACATTAGTGTGCGGCCACACAGGCGTACACACACCTATGGGGCAGGACTCTAACATTAGTGTGCGGCCATACAGGCATACACACACCTATGGGGCAGGACTCTAACATTAGTGTGCGGTTACACAGACATACACACACCTGTGGGGCAGGACTCTAACATTAGTGTGCGGCCACACAGACATACACACACCTATGGGGCAGGACTCTAACATTAGTGTGCGGCCATACAGGCATACACACACCTATGGGGCAGGACTCTAACATTAGTGTGCGGCCACACAGACATACACACACCTATGGGACGGGACTCTAACATTAGTGTGCGGTTACACAGACATACACACACCTATGGGGCAGGACTCTAACATTAGTGTGTGGTTACACAGACATACGCACACCTATGGGGCAGGACTCTAACATTAGTGTGTGGCCACACAGATGTACGCACACCTATGGCGTAGGACTCTAACAGTGTGCGGTTACACAGACATACACACACCTGTGGGGCAGAACTCTATTAGTGTGTGGCCACACAGACGTACGCACACCTATGGGACAGGACTCTAACATTAGTGTGCGGTTACACAGACGTACGCACACCTATGGCGCAGGACTCTAACATTAGTATGCGGCCACACAGGCATACGCACACCTATGGGGCAGGACTCTAACATCAGTGTGCGGTTACACAGACATACACACACCTATGGGGCAGGACTCTAACATCAGTGTGCGGTTACACAGACGTACACACACCTATGGGGCAGAACTCTAACATTAGTGTGTGGTTACACAGACATACACACACCTATGGGGCAGGACTCTAACATCAGTGTGCGGTTACACAGACATACGCACACCTATGGCACTGGGCGCTGTAACAACATCAGAAGGTGGAGACCCGGGGCTGGCGTGGGACAGGGGTTAAGCCACCACCTCTGATGCCATATGGGTGCTGGTTCCAGTCCCAGGTGCTCCACTTCCAATCCAGATCCCTGATAATGCGCCTGGGAGAGCAGTGGAAGATGGCCCAAGTACTTGGGCCCCTGCACCTGCGTGGGAGACCCAGATGGAGCTCTGGCTTTGGCCTGGGTCACTGGCTGCAATGACAGAGGCTGGGCCAGGTCAACGCCAGGAGCCAGGAGCCCCCTCAGGGTCTCGCACGTGGGTGCAGGGGCCCAGGCCTTTCCAGGGGGCAGGACTGGAAGTGGGGCGATGCTGCTGCCGCAGGGCGCAGGCCCCTTATGGCTGAGTGTTCAAAGTTCTCTACTCATTCCAGACACAAGTCCTTGGCTGAACACTCTTTGTATCTTAGACACTTAGATTTTGTCCTACGCCCTCTTCTAAGGTGTTAGAATTCTGCATTTGGGAGCAGGCGTGTGGCAGAGCAGCTAAACTGCCCACCCCACGTCAGAGCGCCTGGTTCAAGCCCCAGCTTCCGAGTCTGCTTCCTGCTAACGCACCCAGGAAGGCAGTGGAGTTGGCTCAAGGACTTGGGTCCCTGACAGCCACAGGGGAGACCCAGCTGGAGGTCTGAGGTCCTGGCTTCGGTCTGTCCCAGCCCTGGCTGGTGCAGATGCTTGGGGAGTGAACCAGCGGATGAAAGATCTCCTCCTTTTTTGAATAAAATGAAAATAAATAATTTAAAATTTAAATAAATAAAATTTTAAATTTGGATATATATTTTGAGTAAACCAATGCTGAGGGTCTTGTTTCTGCATATTAATATCCACTGGCTCAGTAACACTTGTTCAAAGTCCACCCTCTCACAGGAGAGGGTCGCAGCTCACTGGACCAAGCCCCTGCCTGGGACAGCTGCACCCACATCTGAGCGTCAGGTCAGCCTCAGCTCCTCTGCTGCCGACCGAGTCCTGTTGCTGCGTCCTGGATGCAGTGGTGCGGGTGGTGACTCAGGGCCTGGCCCGGCCACCCACACGGTTCTGGGCTCCTGCTTTAGCCTGGCCCAGCTCTGGCTTTTGCGGGCATTAGTGTACGCACCAGCAGATGGAAGATCTCTCTCTCTCTCTCTCTCTCTTCTAAGTAGATGACAATAAACAAACATTTAAATAAAGTCTATCCTTTCTCCACGCTCTGTGCCTTTATCAAAGAGGAAGTGGCAGGCCTGTTTCTGGCTGTTTGGTGCCAGGGACTGGCTGTCCGTCCCTTTGCCAGCCCCACAGCTGCTTTCTGCAGCCTCGAGTAAAGTTTCACAACGAGGGGACTGACTCCTCCAGCTTCATTCTTTTCCAGAACTCTCTTAGCTGCTCTAGGTCTTTCGTCTTTCACGTGAAATCGAAAGTAGGGCGGGTATCTGGCCCAGCAGCTACGACGCCGGCTGACACGAGCACCCACATCTGTGCTCCTGGTTCGAGCCCTGGATTCACGGCAGATGCCCACTCCCTGGGAGGCTGAAGTAGTCAGGTTCCTGCCACCACGCGGGAGACCCGGGAGGAGTCCAGCTCCCCACGCGGGAGACCGGGAGGAGTCCAGCTCCCCGCGCGGGAGACCCGGGAGGAGTCCAGCTCCCCGCGCGGGAGACCCGGGAGGAGTCCAGCTCCCTGCGCGGGAGACCCGGGAGGAGTCCAGCTCCCCGCGCGGGAGACCCGGGAGGAGTCCAGCTCCCCACGCGGGAGACCTGGGAGGAGTCCAGCTCCCAGCCACTGTGGGCTCCTGGGAGTGAACCAGCAGATGGGAGTGTTTTTTCTCTGAAATAAATAAATGAACCACCTTGTCGGCAAGCACAAAACTGCCCTGCTGAGAATCTCGCTGGGATTTGAGCTGGACCTGTGGCTCCGTTCTGGGTGAGCTGGCGTCTGCTGCAATCAATCTCCCAGCCTGTGGGGCCCGGCACCGACGGCTGCCCCAGCACTTCACAGCTTTCAACCTAAGGGCTGCGCGCACCGTTGGGTTCACACCGTGAACAGTGCTGGGAGCTCCTGTGAGTGGTACTGTCTTTTTAGTTTCCAGTACACACTGGGATAGGACTGGTGTGTGCCTGCTCCCTGCAAGCTTACAAAGCTCACTGATTGAGACCTGGGGTTTCCCACACAGACGACCCAGCAGCGAAGCTGACACAGCCGCTCTGTGCCCTCCTCCCGCTTCCTCCCTCACTGCGCTGTCCGGGACACCCACTTCAAGGCTGAGCAGAAGTGAGGGTGGACATCGTGCCCCGGTCCCCGTCTCCGGGGGAAGCACCCGGTCTTTCTCCATAAGGTACAGGTGGGCTGTCACTCACTGCTCTCTTCTGTGGTTTTTAATCCTAACAGGGCACTGCGTCTGACTGAGTTCTTCTGCATCAATTCCTGTGATCCCCTGGTGGGTCTTATCGTCTGAACTTTTTTTAAAAAAAAAATTTATTTATTTATTTGAAAGAGTTACAGAGAGAGAGGGAGAAGCAGAGAGAGAGAGAGAGAGAGAGAGAGAGAGAGAGAGGTCTTCCATCCTCTGGTTCACTCCCCAGTTGGCCTCAAAGGCCGGAGCTGCACCAATCTGAAGCCAGGAGCTTCTTCCGGGTCTCCCACGTGGGTGCAGGGGCCCAAGGACCTGGGCCATCTTCCACTGCTTTCCCAGGCCATAGCAGGGAGCTGGATTGGAAGTGGAACATCTGGGTCTTGAACTGGCGCCCATATGGGATGCCAGCGCTTCAGGCCAGGACATTAACCTGCTGCGCCACAGCGCCGGCTCCGTCTGATCTTTGAATAATGAGCAAGTCTTGCATTCTTGGGATAAACGTCGCCTGGTCACCGTGGGTCACCCTCTCCATGTATTCCTGGGTTTGCTTTGTTAATGTATTGACGGTTTTTACGTCTAAGCTCCTGGGGTAGTGGTCTGAAGCGTGTGTCGCCTGGTTCTCCTATCAGTGACGCTCCACCCACGGAGCGTGGAGTGGGAGCCCCCCTCTGCTGATCCTGGACGAGGCCGTGGACACACGCTGTCCTTCTCGTCCTGGTAGGTTTGGTAGGATTCTCCCATAAATCAATCTGGGCCGATAGAGTTCTTTTTGCAAGGTTACCCAAAATGGAGATTTATATCCAGTATTAATATTTTATTTTTCAGTTATGCTGCACTGATTTTTAAGATTTATTTATTCATTTGAAAGGCAGAGAGAGAGGTCTTTCATCCACTGGTTCACTTCCCAAATGGCCGCAAAGGCTGCAGCTGTCGATCTGAAGCCAGGAGCCAGGAGCTTCCTCCAGGTCTCCCATGAGGCTGTAGGGGCCAAGGACTGGGGCCATCCTCCACTGCTTTCCCAGGCCACAGCAGAGAGCTGGAGCAGCCGGGACTCGAACCGGTGCCCACACGGGATGCCAGTGCTGCAGGTGGCGGCTTTACCTGCTCCATCACAGTGCAGGCCTCCAAACTTTTTTTTTTTTTTAAGATATTAGAAATAACCAGGAAAATTCCTCCCAGGCAGTTAGCACGTCGGCTGGCAGCTCACTGTGCCTGCTGCCAGCCCTGGTGCCCGCTGCCTGTGTCCAGCGCTACCTGTAAATGGCCTGCTTGTCCGCGTCCATCGGGGCCGGAGCCTCCGCAGCAGGGGGACGCACTCCTTCCGCGTCAGGTTCAGAGCAGGCGGGGTCTTGCTCTGTTTTTAACTCTGTGACTACCTGCATCTGCAAGAGAAAGAGACTTGGTTACCCCACACACGGTGCGCGCCACTCTGTATTCCGCTCCCGGAGAGGAAACACAAGCTGCCACTCTGTATTCCGCTCCCGGAGAGGACACACAAGCTGCCACTCTGTATTCCGCTCCCGGAGAGGCACAGCGAGCGACACCACGTGAACCGCAGCCCCAGCAGGACTCCTCCGCATTTAACACACTTGCCGCACAGACAGACAAGACGGCTACTGTCCGCGAGGGGCTCTGGTTAACCCCCGCAGGTACACGACATGAAGAGGACTGTGTGAGTTCAGTCCCTCTTCTCTCTCCTTGCACTTGATAATGGCACAGGAAGGCAGAACAAACCACAGCCCAAGCTCTTCTCGTCCTGTGACAAACAACCCAGACCCAACAGGCTGCACGGCCGGGACAGGACTCAATGCGCACACTGACCCCGGACCCTCAGGGACACCAGGCGAAACAGTTCAGAAATGTCCCTGCCTTCAGAGACCAGCTGTGTTTACTTAAAGCCTTGACGATGTTATCATTTAAACCACTTCCAACAAGCCATGTGTCTGTCCTTTACGTAAAAGGCATTTAAATCCTTAAACACAGAATTCAGTTTACCAAAAAATAAAAACAAAAAGGAAAGACAGACAGAAAAGCTGCGGTAGCTCCTAACTCCCTGTGAGCAGAGGGGACTGGCGGAGCTGGCCGGGCTGTGTCCTGCGGGGAAGCAGCGGGGCCTGGGGAGTCGGCTCCACGGGGCGCCCCTGCAGCCCCCTGCTCTCCTCTCTCCCTTTGGAGGGTGCGCTACACTGGGGACGCTGCTTTTCCTTCTCTTAAAAACAGCAACCAAAGGCAACCAAAGCCCACACACAGACTTTCTGGAGGGCCATCCGATTACGTAACCGTCTTCATAGACTTATTTCACCATCTGATGACTGAGAGACCCCAGTGCTGGAGGGATGGCTACGCTCGGCACGTGTTTCCAGGCTGCCCGAGGCATCGGTGACTTAAAAAGCAAGGGGCGTGGCCCCGGGCACAACGGCCTGCACCGCCCCGGGCTGGGAATCAGAGCAGAGACCCGAAGGGCAGGAGGGGGCAGAGCACAGGGAACAGCTGGGGCCAGCAACTCAGCACGCAAGGACGGACACACGCGGGGCCAGGCCACGCAGGGCCGGGGCGGCTGGGACTTCGGAGAGCTCAGGCGGGGGAAGGATTTGCATTTTGGATGGAAAACATCATCTGGCAATGCCACGGGCCGAGAAAGCCCACACCACAGAATTCCCTCCCTCCACTCCTGCAAGAAAAACAAAAACAACAGCCCGACAAAGGAACCTACAAAACACCTATCAAAAAACCAAAACTCTAGCACAGGAACGGAACAAGAATGGTACAAAGCCGGCCACTAAGGGGAGAGAGGCACGGCCCCTTGCCCCTGACCGCCCAGCCTCCCCAGAGCCGCTCCTGCCTCGCTGCCATCTTGAGACAGTGGATGGGAGGGGCACATTCCACCCGCACCCCAACTCCAGCAGAACCCTGCTCAGAGGAGAGCGGCAAACGGCAGGGCCCGATCTCTGCCCCGAGAAAGACTGCGAAGGCTGCCACTGCCCCTACACACAGCTCCTGCAGGTCACACAACACAAAACACGCAACCACAAATACCGCAGCTTCAAGGGAGACGCGGCCCTGCACCGCTGGACACGGGAGACGCGGCCCTGCGCCGCCGGACATGGGAGACGCGGCCCTGCGCTGCCAGACACGGGAGACGCGGCCCTGCACCGCCGGACACGGGAGGCGTGGCCCTGCACTGCTGGAGAAGGGAGACGCGGCCCTGCACCGCCAGACACGGGAGACGCGGCCCTGCACTGCCGGAGCACACCACGGAGCCATGGGGTCGCCATGGCACAGTTCTGAGCACCAGGGTGCACACGGACGCCCTGCGAGAAGTCCCCTCCCGCGTGGGACCTGGGAGCTGAAGCCACTTCTCGTAAGCAGGTCGCCGAGCAGGACACCGAGAACAGTGACTGGTCAACAGGGGTCTGTGTACCAGAACCGCCCACGTCCTTCAGAGCATCAGTACGAACCACACCCACGGGCTAAAGGTCAGCCCCTAGGAACTGTCATCTGACTCTGGGGTCCTTACTGGCAACCCTCTGCGTTCTGGTTCCGTCTCTGAACACCAGTACACAAGCGACGCACACGCGTTTGGATGGAACGGGAAAGGTGCACCAGCCCCGCGGCTCAGAGGGCAGCACACAGGACAGGCTCACCTGCTGCCCATCCTGATAGCTGTCTATGCTCAGGGTCTGCGTGGCCATCATGGTTCTCAGCTTTCCCTGGGTCCTCAGATCATCTTGAGCCGAAAGCGGAGGGTGCCTGGGAAGACAAAAGCGGAGAGCAGGCGTCAGCGCCACCGCCCTCACCTCCCAGCCTTCCTTCAGAATGTTCCTGACGTGAATGCAGACGGAGATGTGCTACCCACTGTCCAGTCCCAATGCCTGCCACGGCCAGGGCTGGGCCGGGTCGGTCAGGAGCCAGGCGTTCAGTCCAGCTCTCCCACGGGGCAAGGATGCAGCTCTGTGAGCCGCCGCCTGCTGCTTTCCAGGGCGCACGCAGCAGGGAGCTGGAGCTGAAGCAGACCCGGGACAGACAATGCCCACCGCCACATCGTGTGTTTGTAAATCCCAGCTTTGCACCAAGAGAAGAAGGCATCGTCAACACCGCGTGTCAGTGGTCCCCCCAACGGTCAGGGGCACTTCCAGCCACATGCACTGCCCCCAAACTCCCAGCAGACGCCCCCACACGGACACTGTTCTGGGCCTGCGCGCCTACTCTCCTGGAGCAGAAAAGGTGGAGAGAGAATCCACCCAGCAAACAGCAGGTGGCGCCACACAGAGACCGGCGGAGGGGCGGAGTGGCGGGGAGGGGGCAGGGGCGGCTGCCCACAGGGTCCCTGGGACGATGCCACCTGAGTTGACGGGAGGGGACCGCGAAGGCAGGGCCAGAAAGATCCAGGGAGGCGCTGACACGGCACTCCCGCACACGCGTGCGACCCAGCACCTGCACAGGGCCCGTCTGCTCACAACACCACAGAGCCTCAGAATCACAGGCCGGGGCCACCGCAGGACCTGCCACGCCACGGGGACGCAGGCAGGACGCGCACAGAGCTGGCGCAGGCCAGCGGCGCTGTGGGGGCTGAGGGCTACGTGGAGGTCAACCCATACCAGCAGGACCAGCGAAGGTCACCAGGAAGGACACCTTTGGGGACGGAGCTGCACAGAGCTACCAAGTCAGTCCAGCCCAGGTCACACACACAGGGATGGAGTTAGCAGCGAGACAGCTACCGGAGGGCGTCCAGGCCACCTCCTGAGTGGGCACTAGGACACGCGTGCACGCGTGCAGCCCCCAGGGTGCTCCTTTACAGCCGAGGGGCTGTGTGATCGGCCAAGGCTACGGAGTCGGCCGGGGCGTGCTGCGGCCACCAGCGGGGACCAGCGCCCTCACCAGCCTAACGTGAGGTCACTCCTGCCTCCAACACACACCTGTTCTGTCCCAGGCACTGGTGCACACTGGCACACGGCTGCACCAGGTGACACGGGTGCAGGCAAATGCCAGGTGTGACGGGATCCAGGCAACCAGACGGGGCAGGGAAAGCTTCAGGGAGTGAGCCCCCCCAGCACCTGGCGGCAGGAGGCGGGTGTGGGCCACCGGGGGGGTGGGGGGCAGGTGCTGACGCCAGTCCAGTCCCGACGCACAGCCAGTGACGACTCCGGCGGCCACAGGAAGACGTGAGCGGAGTGACTCAGACCACGTGAGCCGGGGGCCTGCAGCTGGATGGAGTGGGGGGACAGGGGTGCAGGTGGGCCCGGGGCCTGCAGCGAGAGGCGGGCTGGGTCTGAGCTTCCTACCTGAGCACCTGGAGGAGCGGAGCCGCAGGTCCTGAGACGCAGCAGGCTGGCGAGGCCGGCTTCTGCAGCCTGAGAGGAAGCAACGCAGTGCTTAGGGCTGGGACGTTCAGACATCCACGCGGGAGCTGTCTGGCCCAGGACAGACCTGGCCGCGCTCCGCAGACAGGGTGGGGTGCATCCGAGACCTAACCCCGTGCCCGGGCATGGGAGCATCTACAGAGGGGGCCAGGTGAGGATCCCAGCTGAGACGGGACAGACCTGACCGCTCAGCAGACAGGGTGGGGTGCATCCGAGACCTAACCCCGTGTCCGGGCATGGGCGCATCTACAGTGGGGGCCCGTGAGGATCCCAGCTGAGACGGCTGTGCTTAGAAAGGAGGGAGGAGGAGCTCCGAGGCGCAGAGGGCTATGCCCCGTGAAGAAGGGGCAGAGACCAGAGCGTGGCCCACAGTCACAGCCGGCCAGGGATGCTGGACACCAACCTGGAGGCAGCAGAAAGCCCCCCCCCACCCCGGAGCACGCAGAGGTCATGTGGCCCTGCCCACAGCTTGGGCTCAAACCACGGGACAGTCACTGTCTGTCGTTTCTCTTCCCGAGTTTGTGGTCATCCCTGGGCAGCACTGGCAAACAAGGACAGAACACAAGGCCATGAGACTGGGAGGCCCAGGAGCTCATGGGATGGCCCAGGGCACGGGCACAGCAGGCAGCGCCCCCGAAGCCACGTGCAGGAAGGGGACCTGGGAGCGGGATGGCCAGCCACGTCGAGGACGGCTCGTGCCACGGAGGAGGGGGCCAGGCGTGCTGGTGAGAAGGGGGCCTGCAGGAGTGGGGGAGGGGCGACCTGCTGCCAGGGGCAGACCCACCACGCAGCGCCCTCCTGGGAGCAGCGGGGCCGTGCGCAGAGGAGGGCAGGAGACTCCACAGGCGCCCGGCGCACGGACTGCGTGCACAGGAGAAGGGAGGAAACACTGCTCCCCGTCACCTGGGGCCTCGACTGCCCTCGGGGCCGCACCTGCGGACTCTCACTGTCCCAACGGTGTCCCCCAAACCCTGTCCTCTACAGGGCCACTCCTCCATGCCCCCCCCCAGCACAGGGACCCCACGGCTGGGTCACAGTGGAGACGTCCGCCTGGCCAGAGGAGCCCCTGTTCTCCAGGCCTCCTGTGCAGGGGAGGGAGCAGCCCCTCGGTGCCCGGTGCCAACAACGCCAACTCACAGAGAAGCAGCCCAAGTCAGGAGGCCTCGCCTGGGAGACGAAGGGGCCAGCACAGAACCTGGGAGTGGGTGCAACTCTACGGAAGTCAGACCGTTCACGACAGAAAAGAACAACCACTTGTAAAGCCGTCATTGCAGCTCGATGGGCCGGCTCTGCGTCGTGGTGGCAGCTGCTGCCTGCGTCACTGGCATCACATCTGACCAATTTGAGTCCCTGCTGCTCCACCTCTGATCCAGCTAATGCGTCCCTGCTAATGTGCCTGGGAAACCAGAGGAAGATGCCCAAGTCCCTGGGTCCCTGCACTCACGGGGGAGACCCAGAAGCTCCTGGCTCCTGGCTTCGGACCAGCCCAGCTCGGCCACTGTGGCCATTTGGGGAGTGAACCAGCGGGGCACCCGCAGGGCAGCTGGCCAGGGCCCTCCGAGCGCCAAGGCCCGCAAGGCTGCTGGACCTCTGCATGCACGTGCGGTGTGTGTGCTCCCCGAGTCCAGGGACCCCCAGAAGTGCCTTCCTTTGCTATCAAGCTCAAGAGCGAGACCGACGGCAAACTCTGAGTGGGATCGGCGAGGACGGTGGCTTGGCCTCCGGCTCCCTTCCCGACTCTGAGGACCGCATGGTGGTAACCGGGAGAGAGAAGCACACGCGGGTACGCAGCCTAACAGGGGCCGCAGGCCTGCACCCTGCTTCCTCAGACCTTTTGAAAGTTCACAGAAGTGTAAAATACTTAGGATAGAAAAGTACAGGAACTGCTCTGGGTTAGAGACTAAGGAAATACATCGGTCCATGACCTCGATTTCAAAAACAAGTGCTGTGAAGGACGAGCTAGGATCTGGAGACGCGACGGTGGTTCTACTCCTGCAATGTTCCGTCGAGATGTTTACACAGGGGTTGACACTGCGGCGTAGCAGGCTAGGCCACGGCCTGCAGTGCCAGTCCCCCATGGGTGCTGGTTCGAGTCCCAGCAGCTCCACTTCTGATCCAGCTTTCTGCTATGGCCTGGGAAAGCAGTAGAAGACGGCCCAAGTACCACGGGGGAGACCTGCAGGAAGCTCCCGGCTCCTGGCTTCAGCCTGGCCCAGCCCTGGCCATGACAGCCATTTGGGGAGTGAACCAGTGGATGGAAGGCCTCTCTTTCTCTCTCTCTCTTTCCCCCTCCCTCCCTCCACCCTTTTCTTCTTTATCTTTGCCTTTCAAATAAATTTCTTTTAAAAAGTTTGTAATAAATATTGGGGAAAGAGTCAGAATTGTTTTAAAAACATATAACTTGCAGGCCCCCCTCTCCCAGAACTGGTTAGAGCTCCTCTCTCTGGTATTAGTTCACTCGCTCTAAAGGAAAAACCTGAACTTTGTACTGAAAGTCTCGGGAGCACGTGTGTGCTCTCCGCACAGTGGAACACCACGCAAGGATTAACGCAGCCCTTCTTGGCTGGGGCGGCCAGCACCTCACCCAAGGCACGGAGCTGGAGAGTCGCCAAGAGATGGCGCTGCCCGCCCGCGGTGGCTCCACTTCTCAGCATCTGTCCATCTCCTCCGCGGCTCCACCCACTCAGCACCGCAGCTGTCCATCTCCTCCCCGGCTCCACCCACTCAGCACCGCAGCTGTCCATCTCCTCCGCGGCTCCACCCACTCAGCACCGCAGCTGTCCATCTCCTCCCCGGCTCCACCCACTCAGCACAGCATCTGTCCATCTCCTCCCCGGCTCCACCCACTCAGCACCGCATCTGTCCATCTCCTCCTCAGCTCCACCCACTCAGCAAAATGACAGCACATTTTCGTAGTAGAATAACCCAGTTCCTGCAATCAGGCAAACAGCCCCCAGTGGCATCTCTCGCACCCATCCCAGCACAACTTCTCAGTGCTAGGAGGTTACGACCTCGAGGTTAAGTTGAGGCCTGTCAATCAGCTCAGGGGACTTGGCGAAGTCTACCATTAAACGGGACAACACTAAGAGGATCCCACCCAAGGATAAGCTGTCATCAGGCTCTTCTTTCTAAGCCAAAGACTGGCTCAGCGTTAAGACAATCACGTAATCGCCGCCCCTCTCCCCACGTGAAGCCACGCTCTGGTCTGGAAGGACATAGGTGGAGACTCAGGTCCCAGTCTCCCTTACCTTGCAAGTCCTGTGTCTCACTACACAGAGGGGTCCAGGACCTCAGGCTGCAAGACTCAGAATCCTGCCATCAGCTCCACAGTACTTCCTGCAACCAGTCTCGGGGTTCTCTGACAAGGAGGGGTCCTCCTCCTGCGTGGTTGTCGCCCCAGGGCCAGCAGTCCCCTCAGGCGCTGCCCTGCAGGGCTGAGTACTTGGGGTCTTGGTGACAGCCCCTTTCTGTGGCCAACTGCTGTCCAGGCATCACTGGCCTAGGGCACTTTTCAGGCTTAAACTGGTTTGGGATTTGGAGAGGTCTTGGGCCTTTAGCACGGACCCTGCATGACAATGCAGGCAGCATTTCTCGCGATGACTGGGACTTTCCTGGGGCCGCCTTGCCCTGAAGTGGATTCCGGCTCCTCCTGAACACTGGTTCCAGGCCTCATCTAGCCCCCAGGGAATGCGCCTGGGAAAAGCAAGGGAAGACGCCCACCCCACGGCTTGCGGCCCTGCCACCCACCCTCAGACCCTGATGGGATTCTGGGCTCCTGGCTTCAGCCCGGCCCAGCCCCGGGAGTTGCAGCCACTGGGGGAGTGAACCAATGGCTGGACTGTCTGCCGCTCCCCCTCTGTAACTCTGCCTTTCAAATAAATAAAATAACTTGTTTTAAAGGTTACTGCTTTATTTCTTGCTACACTTCTTTTGTAACTTGGTTAAGTTTCCGGCGAATAATCTCAAAATAAGCATTTTGTTTCCCTCCTTGCCTCTCTGGTCAGCCCCTCACAGATTCTGGGCCCCGGTGGTAGGGCAGGGTGGGGGGAGGGGGAGACCATTCCCCAACAGGGGCAGGGCCAAGGTGAAGTGCACCAGACCCCAGCTGAGTGCACTCTGGGACCTGCTGTTGGCCTGAGGTCTCTGTGTTTTCCATGCTGCCTGCACACCCCACTTCTGTGGAGTGAGACCCGTTACACGTGTTAGGCATTTGTACACAATTTGCAGTGTGCAAGGCCACACCAAACACTGGAGTTAAAGGTTTACTGTCGGGTGGGGGAAGCTGGACGAGGGTGGGGTGGGAGGGGGAGGGCGAGAGGGTAAGAGGGGCCTGCGCTGTGGCCTAGGGGATAAAACTGCTGCCTACAGTGCCAGCATCCCATATGGGCGCCGATTCGAGTCCCGGCTGGTCCACTTCTGATCCAGCTCTCTGCTATGGCCTGGGAAAGCACTGGAGGATGGCCCCAGTCCTGGGACCCCTACACCCACATGGGAGACCAAGAGGAAGCTCCTGGCTCCTGGCTTTGGATCAGTACAGCTCCAGCTGTTGTGGCCAACTGGAGAGTGCACCAGTGGATGGAGGACCTCTCTCTCTCTCTCTCCCCCTCTACCTCTCCTTCTCTCTCAGTAACTCTGCCTTTCAAATAGATAAATAAATCTAGAAAAAGAACTTATTTAAAAAAGAGAGAGAGTATGTAAGAGATTAAGAGAGACCCATGTGTCAGGAACAGGTCCTGTGGAGCCTTTACCAGGGGGCGGGCAGGGAAGTAGGAGCAGCGAATCCCGTTAGGGTGGGAGTGGAGCTGACACTGGTGGTTGGGCCATGGGGTCACCTGGCTTCCAGCAATGGCAGCGGGAGCTGGAGCCCAGGATTCTGTCCAGGGTGTAGATGGCGCCACAGATAAGACTGCGCCATTTTACTAGCACTGTGTCTATGTGATAACATTCCCTAATTCTATTTTTGACTGATTATAGACGAATGAGTGCACACA